TTGAAGTACTCTCCATGAGGTACTATGAGATGTACGACATGCTAGAGCCACTTGACGTGTGCTGATACCTGAATCGTCTCCGACAACCTGTAGAATGTGTTCTTTATCGTCAGAAGTACCAGTGAATCTCGGTGTTCCTTGATCTATAGTCTGTGCTGCCACGGAACCTGTCTCAGCAACGCGACGATAAACAGCAACAAAGGTTGGATGACTCAGCTGCCTTTGGTCTGAGAACGCAATATGATACAGCCGTGCAGCCTCGTGTCTATTACCATTCGTGTGGTCCTATGTAAAATCACCTCTGCCTGCTTACGATATGAATATCCTGCCATTGTTAAACGGAACATTAATTCACTACTAAACATGTTAAACGTTGAAGTCATAAATGTATACGATTGACAAATGTAACCTAGTCTACACTGTGCCATCTACTTTAAACTTTCTTTAAACTTAACTTAAAAACGAAGAATTTGAGGATTTGTGTTTATATGGACTTTTGTCTTTGTTTTGGTGTGACGAACCCGACCGCAAAGTCTGTAAAAATATTTTTGATACACCATATATATATATATATATATATATACACAGAGAGAGAAAGAAAGAAAGAGACAGACAGAGAGAAAGAAAGAGCATAAAAGAGAAAGAGAGTGAAAAAGAGAGAAAGAGAGAGAGAAAGAGAATAAGAGAGAAAGAGAGAGCGAAAGACAGGGGATGAAAGAAAGAAAAACAGAGAGCTTCCGATTCAAGCATAGTTCTATTTGCCTTGTTTGACTGTGAAACTCTCCGTAGCCGAACGATCAAATCACGCCGGATCACCAAATGAGATCACTGGTTCGAATCCTTCCGGAGAGCACATTTTCTTTACTACAAAAACACCACCACACAGACACAGACACACACACATATACATATATATATATATATATGGAGAGAGAGAGAGAGAGAGAGACGCATCCAACATTAAATAAGGTATCTTCTTTCTCTATAGGAGACCGTATATTGAAGTCTGTTAAAAAAAAACATAAAAATTTTAGTTTGACCGTTTATATGACGTCACCTTGAGTGAGTTTAAATTGATTTCATTGAACGGGAGAAAATCGGAATTAAAAAAACGTTTCCGTTCTACACAGAGAACAATTCTTGAAAACGAATGTAGTATCATTCGAAAGTACACAGGAAGAATAATATAGAACAAAAGTTAATACGAATTTTGGAAAATTTACCGATGAAACAAAACAACTTATGAGGAAATTTGAAGGATTTAATAAAAAATTTGATAGACAGAAATTGTCCATATTATTTAATACAAGGTTTTTGAGCGAATTCTTCCTTTCGAACCACCCCCACACATGTTTGATTGCATATTGCGGACAAAGGATATTTTGTAAGATTTTAACAAAACTTATATTCATTATATATATATATATATATATGTATATATATATATATGAGATAACATCTGAACATTTGCCATGGAAATAGCGATAGAGTAGAGATAGGTTTAGCTGTAAAGGTCTAAACTGATGGAACGAAAGAATGGAGTTCATCTGAGCATTTGCAATGGATATAGCGATGGAGTAGAGAGAAGCTTAGCAGTAAACGCCTGAATTAGTGGAAGTAAGACTGGGGTTCATCAGAACATTTGCCATGGATATAGCGATAGAGATAGGCTTAGCACTAAAGGTCTGAACTGGTGGAACTAAGGAATGTAGATCATCTAAATACTTGCCATGGAAGTATCGACAGAGTAAAATGAAGCTTTCTATGTTACAGGTTTAGGGTCGAAATCATTCATCACTCTCAAGGCCATGTTTGTGGTCAAAAGAGGAAAAATCATCCCGCAAGACGCGTAAATTACTTTGAACTCTATTATGATAACGATTAAATTATGATTTGAAAAGTTGTGATCGTTGTTTTCAAGAAAATACCGACGGAAGTGACAATTTTTGAGAAACACCTGTCAGAGTGGCACACGGGAGTAATTAGGAGAATTTGACACTGTGGATGTAACATGGCGTGTCCGAGATTTAAATTAGATGGCTCAAATTTAAGTGAGGACAGGAAATTGTGATCACAAAACTTGTTCGAATTCTTCCCAAAGTCAAAGCCTGGGAGGTCATCGGATCGAAGTAACTCTCAACCCTCTCTCTCTCCACATCTACCATCAACAAAGGTCAAAAGACATCCGAATTGTAAATGGAACTATTTGCCCAAATGGAAGGATTCTCACTACATAAGTTCGTGATATATTTTTTTCGCTTCCCTTCTCTTTTATTTCTGGGTATGACGATCGACTACATCTGACAGCAAGGCCCCTGATCGGGAGATCAAATTTTTGAGTAGAGTAAACAACCTCTTAATTGCTGCTGTTCACTGCCCCACCCAGATCCAGGGTAGTAGCAACCGTTAAGGTCCCAGCTATGGACAAATAATTAACCTCCAAACTAGGGTCAAAACCCTATGAAATTATAAACATTTTTAAAGTAAAAAATACCAGCAAAACATTTTCATAGTAAATTCATTGCACACAGTTCTATAAGTTAAAGGAAATATTAGCAGTAATACATTTTTTTATTAAATATATTTTTTAAAAGAAATTACTAATGCCGCCAAGAAAATTAAATTTCGGCATTAAATGACCCATAAGTTGATATGCCGAACAAACAAACAAATAATAAAACATTATAGAAAATCTGTATCATTCTATAATAAAAAAAATTATGGATATAAAGAATCAGAATAAGAATTTCGATGTTTCAATGGGTGTGTATGACGATGCGTTTATGTGAACTTGTCGAAATTTATGTAAACAATAAACTAGCTACAGCAGTTAACAAAAATGATTTTGAAAATGATAGAGGATTATTATCTCTTAATATTAAAAAATTATACAAGCAGAGTAATAGACATAACGATAAGAGAGATGATTAAAAGTCTATGAAAGTATAAAAATATAATTTTATATGAAAAACGTATTAAATATTTATAATAAAATTACCAACAATACATCAATCAGCATGAAAGAACTCTTTCATGACATTAATCCATATAATATCCTACAATATCTTAAAGAAATCAAACTGTGTACCAAAATAGAACTTCAACAAAACTACAACATATCACCGTCTCTAGTAATTATATCCACACAAATATGTATATGCACAAAAGCTTCGAGCAGATATGAGCGGACAGGGAAAATCACGGGAAATTTGTAGTTTAAAAGCAGTAATTCGACCTTTCTAATCAGCTTTCTCTGTAGCTAAATGGTACGGCACATCAGGATACAGGTTCGATTCCTGTCGGAAGACATATTTTCTAAGACTTAGTCCATTTCATGGTTTTTCATTTAGCTGATTGATGTTACCTTCAGCATCCCGACTTCGGAGTTTTCTTAGACGAACCATGTATTCAATTGTGAAGGCAGAATAACATATGTCATATTTATTGCTTCAAAGCTCCCAAGAAAATTTCGGCATTAAATGACTCATAAGCAGTTGATATGCCTTTAAACAAACAAAATATATATATAGGAGGCACGGTGGAGTAATGGATAGTGGCTTGGATTGAGGAATAGCAGAGCCGAGTTCGAATTCCAGTCAAATCCATTACATTCACTTACGTGCTAATACCCTTGGGAAAGGTATGAATCCTCTTCCTCTCCCTCCAGCTATGGGTAAAATAGCAGGACAGACTGGGTTCTACAGCCTTGGATGACAACTGGTCTAGGAGAATGACAACTCTGAATTCAAAACCTGCGGAGGGTCGTTTGGGAACCATGTGGCATTCAGTGCACCAGGTCTCTGTATTCGTCCCTTCAAAAAGTGTGGATGGTCCTGCACGAAATACACACCACTATAATCAAATGTCATGTGCCGGTGTCGGGCTGTCGGTTTCCTGGAAACTGCTCTGCTTGACCCTCATACGTCGAATCTCGACGGGAGAGTCGATTATATATATAAGGCATGGATGTATTTTTAATTTTTTTAAATCCTATAGGTTTTTATTACAGAAAATAAAATTCACTAAAAATAACGTTTAAGTAATACATATTACATATTGCTGATACCTCTCGAGGAATGAACGAATAGGGCCGTCCAGGAAACTCTGGAGTCGGGATGCTGAAGGTAACATCAATCAGCTAAGTGACAAACCATGAAATGGACTAAGTCCGACAATTATTTTAATATATTTATTGTTTATACGTTATTTTTATAGATACAAATATTTAAGCAAATGCTCTGTTTATAATAAACAGTATTAACAATATTTACTGCCCTGAATGTCCGAGAAATTTCATAGAAAATATGTGTCCTCCGATCAAACCTGTATCTTACACGGAACCGTCACATAGCCTGACGTGCTATACCATTTAGCTACAGATGAAGCGTCTGGATAGCAAGGTCGAATTACTGCTTTTAGACTACAAATTTCCCATGATTTTTCTTGAACGCTCATATCTGATATTTGTATCTATAAAAATAACGTATAAATAATATAGTAAAATAATTATCGGACTTAGTCTATTTCATAATATATAACGTTATTGGGTTATGTTAAAATACGCTTCGAGCAGATATGAGCGGACAAGGAAAATCAAGGGAAATTTGCAGTTTAAAAGCAGTAATTCGACCTTGCTAACCAGACGTTTCCCCTGTAGCTAAATGGTACAGCACGTCAGGATACAGGTTCGATTAATGTCGGAAGACACATACTTTCTAAGACTTAGTCCATTTCATGTTTTGTCACTTAGCTGATTGATGTTACGTTCAGCATCCCGACTTCGGAGTTTTCGTAGACGGACCTGTCCGTCCACTCTTCAGGGGATATCAGCAATTTGTAAAATGTTTTACTTAAATGTTGTTTTTAGCGGATTTAATTTTTATTTTAAGTAATAAAATCTATAGGATTTTTAAAATTAAAAATTCCATCCCTTAGCTTATATATATATATATATATATATATATATATATATATATATATATATATATATATATATATATCCTGGTATTCCCAAGCGGTCACCCATCTATGTACTGACCAAACTCGACGTTGCTTAACTTCGATGATCGCAGGAGAACCGGTTATTCAACGTGATGCCACCGTAAGCCATTTCTACTCGCACATCCAAACTTACAGTACCTGGTATTCCCATGTGGTCACTCATCTATAAATTGACCAGGCTCGACGTTGCTTAACTTCGGTGATCGTATAAGAACCAAAAAGAGACAGCTGTAATTTCTTGGACACATGAGGGAGGAGGGCTTGGAGAATTTGACACCCACAGGACATATCGAAAGCACAAGGGACAGGGGGGTAGTGGGCCACCGACTTGACCACCTTGTGTAAATATATGCCAGAACGGCGGTGGTAAAGACGACAGAAAGATAATTATTAAAATCTACAAGGGTTAGGAAGTTGTAGAGAGCCTTGATCGCTCAGGTCTTGGAGAGAAGAAAAAGAAGATTCAAACTGTAGACCTCAAGGGATCTTTCCGGCTGCTCTAACCACAAGCTTTCTCTGACATTGACAGTTCAAGTTGTTTACAATAGGGGGGTAAAAGGAATGGGGAGATCCCTGAAAAGTCAGGGTTGGCTTTATTGCAATAAATAATTGGAGTAATAAATCAAAAACTCGTTTCCCGCCGAAACCCGACTCTGTTGATATTAAACGGTACTTAATTGCTACGACTATTTTAAAAGAGGAAAGGGGCGGTGCGGTGAAATTGGGAGGAGGCAGCTGAGGAGGAGGGGGATGGGGGATTGAGAGGGATAAAAGTTTGCAGGGATCTTTGGGGGTAATTATGGATAAGGAAGCGTCGGGAATGAAGAGAAGATAAGGGAAAAGAGAAAGGGAGTAAGGAGAGTGGGAGGTGGTGGGTGACGAACGAGATAGAGGCGAAAGCGAAAGAGAAAGTTGGAGAGAAAGAAAGAAGAAGAAAAAGGGTGAGGAATATGAAAAAAAAAATGAAGATCTATGAGAAGAGGAAAAAAGGTACATGCTTAAAGGAAAAAGAAAAGAGAGAGTGCAGAAGAAGAAGAAGAAGAAAAAGAAAAAGAAGAAGAAGAAGAAGGAAATGAAAGAAGACGGAGGATGTGGATGAGAGCTATGAAAAAACAGAAGAAAAGAATGAGTGTGAGGAAGACGGAGAAGCTAAGAAAGGAGGAGGAGAAAGGGCAGTGAAGAAGAAGGCGGAGGACGACGACGAAGGGATGTGGATGCTGAGGTGGAGGGGACGGAGAACTAAAACAACAATTGACAGAGGACGAGAAGCAATAAGAAAGAAAGAAGAAGAAACAGGATAATCTATGAGAATCAATAAGAAAGAAAGAAAGAAAGAAAGAAAGAAAGAAAGAAAGAAAAAAAAGAAAGAAAGGATGATCTATGAGAAGCAAAAAGTTAGAAATAAAAGTTAATGGGGATGGTCTATGAAAAGCAATAAGAAAAAGAAAGAAAGAGGATGGTCTATGAGAAGCAATAAGAAAGAAAGAAAGAAAGAAAGAAAGAAAGAAAGAAAGAAAGAAAGAGGATGGTCTATGAGAAGCAATAAGAAAGAAAGAAAGAAAGAGGATGGTCTATGAGAAGCAATAAGAAAAAGAAAGAAAGAGGATGGTCTATGAGAAGCAATAAGAAAGAAAGAAAGAAAGAAAGAAAGAAAGAGGATGGTCTATGAGAAGCAATAAGAAAGAAAGAAAGAAAGAAAGAAAGAAAGAAAGAAAGAAAGAGGATGGTCTATGAGATGCAATAAGAAAAAGAAAGAAAGAAAGAAAGAAAGAGGATGGTCTATGAGAAGCAATAAGAAAAAGAAAGAAAGAGGATGGTCTATGAGAAGCAATAAGAAAGAAAGAAAGAAAGAAAGAAAGAGGATGGTCTATGAGAAGCAATAAGAAAGAAAGAAAGAAAGAGGATGGTCTATGAGAAGCAATAAGAAAGAAAGAAAGAAAGAAAGAAAGAAAGAAAGAAAGAGGATGGTCTATGAGAAGCAATAAGAAAGAAAGAAAGAAAGAAAGAAAGAAAGAAAGAGGATGGTCTATAAGAAGCAATAAGAGAAAGAAAGAAAGAAAGAAAGAAAGGAAGAGGATGGTCTATGAGAAGCAATAAGAAAGAAAGAAAGAAAGAAAGAAAGAGGATGGTCTATGAGAAGCAATAAAAGAAAGAAAGAAAGAAAGAAAGAAAGAAAGAAAGAGGATGGTCTATGAGAAGCAATAAAAGAAAGAAAGAAAGAAAGAAAGAGGATGGTCTATGAGAAGCAATAAGAAAGAAAGAAAGAAAGAAAGAAAGAAAGAAAGAAAGAAAGAAAGAGGATGGTCTATGAGAAGCAATAAGAGAAAGAAAGAAAGAAAGAAAGAAAGAAAGAAAGAAAGAATGAGGATGTTCTATGAGAAGCAATAAGAGAAAGAAAGAAAGAAAGAAAGAGGATGGTCTATGAGAAGTAATAAGAAAAAAAGAAAGAAAGAAAGAAAGAAAGAAAGAAAGAAAGAGGATGGTCTATGAGAAGCAATAAGAAAGAAAGAAAGAAAGAAAGAAAGAAAGAAAGAAAGAAAGAGGATGGTCTATAAGAAGCAATAAGAGAAAGAAAGAAAGAAAGAAAGGAAGAGGATGGTCTATGAGAAGCAATAAGAAAGAAAGAAAGAAAAAAAGAAAGAAAGAAAGAAAGAAAGAGGATGGTCTATAAGAAGCAATAAGACAAAGAAAGAAAGAAAGAAAGGAAGAGGATGGTCTATGAGAAGCAATAAGAAAGAAAGAAAGAAAGAAAGAAAGAGGATGGTCTATAAGAAGCAATAAAAGAAAGAAAGAAAGAAAGAAAGAAAGAAAGGAAGAGGATGGTCTATGAGAAGCAATAAGAAAGAAAGAAAGAAAGTAAGAAAGAAAGAAAGAAAGAAAGAGAATGGTCTATGAGAAACAATAAGAGAAAGAAAGAAAGAAAGAAAGAAAGAAAGAAAGAGGATGGTCTATGAGAAGCAATAAGAAAGAAAGAAAGAAAGAAAGAAAGAAAGAGGATGGTCTATGAGAAGCAATAAGAGAAAGAAAGAAAGAAAGAAAGAGGATGGTCTATGAGAAGCAATAAGAAAGAAAGAAAGAAAGAAAGAAAGAAAGAAAGAGGATGGTCTATAAGAAGCTATAAGAAAAAGAAAGAAAGAAAGAAAAAGGATGGTCTATGAGAAACAATAAGAAAAAGAAAGAAAGAAAGAAAGAGGATGGTCTATGAGAAGTAATAAGGAAAAGAAAGAAAGAAAGAAGATAAAGATGAAGTTCTATAAGAAGATGAGAAAGAAAGAACAAGATAAAGAGTATAGTTTATGAGGAGCAATAGAAAGAAAGAAAGAAAGAAAGAAAGAAGAAAAGAAAACATCGTAGCAAAAGAAAGTAATACATAAAGCGAGAAATGTCTGATTTTAGAAAGAAAAAGAAAAGAAAATTGTCTATGACAAAAAAGTAATATTATTTAAAACTATATTTAAAACAAAAACAGTTGATTATAAAGCAAAAAGAAAAAAAGAAAAAATTGTTTGAAAATGAAAGAAGATAAATCAAGTGGGGAATTTCCCGCTCGCTTGTTGAAATATTTGCCTTATTATGAGTTACTGAGCACTTGTCTTCTCTTGTGTTTTAGAAGGACAATTTTCGAGCCAGTCCAGCAGGTTATTCTGCAAGCCTTTCTCAATGTAACATTCTACTGACATTGTAAATATCAATAAACAGAAGCTCAAAAATATAAAATGAAAACACGGAAAAAAGAAATGGTCTGAAAAAGAAAGCAAAAACAAACCTGCCGCAAAAGCAAAAAAAAAAAAAAAAAAAACGGTTGCAAGGTGAAGATGGAAGGAGAAATACCAAGACTCTCTTCCGGAACTGTGGGAACATGAAGTTTTTTTTTAGGTCGTGCCAATAATAATTCGAATACAGGAACTCGTGCACCAAAATAATAAAGCCAAGTCCCATCAGTATGGCTGATGCTAACCTCCAGGAGAGTGTCTCATTACGCCATAACGTTTTCAGCTGTCATGAAGTGGAAAGAGTAAACTGAATCATTTGCTAAGTCTACAGCTACGAATGTTGGTTCACTGTACCGAGCAAGACAATTTTCCTTGTCAGAATCTATCTTACATCTATCTATCGTTGTTTTGAATATTGCTGTCATATCTGGTCTGGTGCTTCTGCTATATATTTAGATATTCTTGATAAAATCCAAAGAAGAATCTATCTTACATATTTATAAGTCTACCATTCATCCTTGCTTTGAATATTGCTGCCACATCTGGTCTGGTGCTTCTGCTATATATTTAGAGATTCTTGATAAAATCCAAAGAAGAATCTATCTTACATATTTATAAACCTACCATTCATCCTTGATTTGAATATTGCTGCCACATCTGGTCTGGTGCTTCTGCTATATATTTAGAGATTCTTGATAAAATCCAAAGAAGAATCTATCTTATATATTTATAAGCCTACCATTCATCATTGCTTTGAATATTGCTGCCACATCTGGTCTGGTGCTTCTGCTATATATTTAGAGATTCTTGATAAAATCCAAAGAAGAATCTATCTTACATATTTATAAGTCTACCATTCATCCTTGCTTTGAATATTGCTGCCACATCTGGTCTGGTGCTTGTGCTATATATTTAGAGATTCTTGATAAAAACCAAAGAAGAATCAATCTTACATATTTATAAGTCTACCATTCATCCATGCTTTGAATATTGCTGCCACATCTGGTCTGGTGCCCTGCTATATATTTAGAGATTCGTGATAATATCCAAAACCTGCAATGTTATTGGTCCTGACCTGAAGTCTACAATTCGTCCTTTTTTTGAATATTTCTGCCAAATCTGGTCTGGTGCTTCTGCTATATATTTAGGGATTCTTGATGAAATCCAAAGAAGAATCTATCTTACATATTTATAAGTCTACCATTCATCCTTGCTTTGAATATTGCTGCCACATCTGGTCTGGTGCTTCTGCAATATATTTAGAGATTCTTGATAAAATCCAAAGAAGAATCTATCTTACATATTTATAAACCTACCATTCATCCTTGATTTGAATATTGCTGCCACATCTGGTCTGGTGCTTCTGCTATATATTTAGA